CTTGTGGACCGGCTCACTGGTTCGAAGTTCCGCAGGATCTCTATCCTGTTGCGACTCTATTTAATGCGGTTGTCGTTCTGTTGGGCTCTAGTCCGTGAGGTGGGCAGCACGACATGTTCAGCACCACAGTGTTGCCTCTCTGCGCACGATCATCGACTAGAGGACGATGTCATGAGATTCTCATGTATCATCTTGGTAGCGTAGAACACTACATTCGTTTAGATTTGACTCCTTATTGTCCATTACCGCCTATTCATCCCATGTGGTTCACTCACCGAGATCGATCGGTTGTGGGTTGGGAGGATAAGTACCAGGCTAGGTTGCAATCATGGTTTACTGTTCAAATTAGACCTTTTTTAATAAAAGAACGATATTTTTGGTTCCACAAAAGAACGATATTATTCAGTTCTGGTATGACGCTTCTCATTCGACTTAAGTTTAGCAAATAAAAAAAAATGAATCAGTTCAACTTAAGTTTAGCAAAAAAAAAAAAAAATAAATAAATAAAAAAACATTCAACTTAATGATTTACAATAAGAAAAAAAAAACTCATTCAACTTAAGTTTAGCAAATAAAAAAAATTAATTTGAATAATTTATATACTAAAAATGACAAAAAAATGTACCGTTAATGCGATTTCGGTTACTCTGTACATGATCGTATGTTCCCACGCTTTGAGACAGACTCGTTCTCCTGAGTCGACCCATCGGGACTCTCAGGAGAACGAGCCTGTCTCGAAGCGTAGGAACATACGATCATGTTACAGAGCAATTGAAAATCGCATTAACGGTACTTTTTTTTTCATTTTTAGTATAAACCATTCAACTTAATGTTTTACAAATAATAAATAAAGAAAAAAACCATTCAACTTAAAGTTTTACAATAATAATAATAAAAAAAAAACATTCATTACATCATTATTGGGCATTGTCGTAATCCAACTTAAACTTAGCCAATTCTTCTTCGACTTCTACCGCCACCGGACATTCACATCCCTGCTGCCAAAGCGATGTAATGCCCAAAAGACGGTTCACCCACTAAAAATATGGAAGAATAAAAAGGTAAGACTAAAATTCATTAAAAAAAATTATTGTAATGAAATAACATAAATTAAAATTTAGTAAACAACTTACATAGGCAGTATTAACATGCGTAGGGACCTTGTTCTCGTCCGGCAGCTCCTCGCCCATGACAGTCGGATGGGAAACCCGACCGTACCACTGCAAGTAATCCTCAGATGCCTCCCCGCGATCATGTGTGGTGGGGTCAACATATTGGTGTTGACCGTCCCAAACAACGGGAACTGGGTCCAGGCACCTACTGCAGCAGCCTCAGAATGCTCAACCCTGTAGTTCCTAGACTCCTAAGTACGTACTGCACTGATTGGCAGGTATGTAGGGGGAGGGACAGTCTGGACATACCCCAACTGACGCAGAACACGCACAGGCAAGTACGGCTCGACAACATCACGGTATCGAATCAATCCGCAATAAAGAGTCCTCGGCTCTATCGTATCTGGGCTGGAGCTGCCGTATGGCAACCATTGCATCTATTCACAATTGCATAAAAGCATTTATAAAAATAAATATATTATTTTACATACGGGTAAGTAAATTTAAATAAAATAACTTAACGTACATCGGAGGCAGTGAGTCTGTCGAGGCGCCGACGGATGGCTGTGAGCCGATCGTCTGACCTTGGCACATTCTCTACGCTCCGCGAGCGAGATCGTGCGACACAGTCAGGACCGATGGGTAGACGCCCCTGGGGTCAAAAATCGGGGAAATACTCATATATCCAGGACTGCAGAAGAGCCCTGCAGCCCGACAGTCCACTAGAGTCCCCTCGGCTGGCAATACCTAGCTGTCTGTACAAGTATGCCAGAATCCCCATGAGTAACCCCCAATCATATCCAAGCCGTGGAGCACCTCGTGCAGGAGCTTGGGGGTCACTCTACTACCACTCTTGTCGACGAACAATGTGGTAGTCAGCATCACCCACATCCAGGCACCCGCCTCATCCCGAGCCGGTCGGCTTTTCCCCCTGAATGCCCCCACAATGGAGGCTTCGGTCACCAAACCACGCTGCCAGAACGAACTCATAAGTTCGGCCTTGGGGTCCGAAAGTATCGACATGCAGAGCCCATGGCAGGCGTCTGAATCTGGGTCCTCAGCGACCACGGCTCCCAAAATGGCCCGGACGTTATGCAGCGTGATGCTCATTTCACCAAAAGGCAGGTGAAATGAGTTAGTATCCGGCTGTCATCGCTCCACAAACGCAAAAAGGAGTGGAGTGTCTAAGTGGCTGTGCATGGAGTCGACCAGATGTGACAACCCGGTGTTTTCGATCAGAGCTCTCACATCGGAAGACATCTCATCACGCCATTCCCTCAGGTTCTCGACCGCTCTCAGTCTGTTATGGTATTTCAACAGCCCCTAAACTGTCCATTTCACATGTGGGAGGCGACGTGCCCTAGAAAGCTAGGGATGACACTCCCATCAATTGGCCCACCGACCACTGGGCCTTTAACGATCCAGGGTGCATCATCATCGGTCCTTGCTCGTTTGCTAAAACCTGCATTACAATACAACATATATGTATATATAGACTTGCTGACAGATGCATGAAATAAAATATATTTAATAAAACATATTTCATAAGTTTCCCGCTCTTTTTTTTTCAATTAATGTAGAAATGTTACATTTTACATTAATAAAATATAATGACAATTTTAAACTAATTTATTATGTAACATTACTGCTAATTGATTATAACAATAATAAAAATAATTATAATAATTTTCTAACTAATTAATTGTATGGTTCCTCTAAATTATAAAATAATTATAATAATTTTCTAACTAATTAAGTCAAAATATTTTATGTTAAACAACAATAAATACGTAAATTATTTACCTGATAAGGATGCAGCGCTGCCAAAATGCCCCCCGGCTTGTCATTGAGGAGCACGTTGTGTAAGACGAACAGCCTGTAACGGACGAACAGGCTGTAGAACAGGTTGTACAGGAGGAACAAGCTGTACAAGAGGAATAGGGTGGCTAGGACCCGTAGGTTGTGCGTGGTCCTCATCATCTGAGGAGTCGTCCGAGTCACACTCCCCTGGACCCTGCTCCCTCTCGCCGTACGACTCATCAGGATACCCCTGCTGACCGTAAGGTGATGGTACGCGTGCGCGGGGTATCGACTTCCCTGCGTGGCGGGAAAAAACATATCCCCGTTGATCGTACGGTCCTGGTGCCGGGGACATCGAACTGCCTGCCTGACCAGGATAATAATATCCATGCTCACCGTACGGTAGGACTCCGTGGAGTCGCGAACTATCTGGCTGGCCCTCAAAATGATATCCCTGCGGACCATCTCGTACTGGTGCGGGGGGTCTCGAACTCTGGCTAGCCTGAAGAATCTGTACCCTCCGAGCCTGATCGATCATCGCCTGCCTGTCCCTCTCCCGACGAACGGACGCATTGATACTCCGACTTCTAGTGTGTCGGGTGTCAGAACCATCATAATAGTCATCGAACGCCTCGTCGTCGTCCTTGACATTAGATTGTCCAGGTCTGCTAACACCCTGAATCAGAAATATAATTATTAAATTTTACCATAGGTAATAATTAATGTAATAATTATTAAAGTATATTATAATTATTGTAATAATTCATTTTTATTTTAAAAATTATTATTATTATAAGAAAGTATTATAGTATATTATAATTATTGTAATAATTCATTTTTATTTTAAAAATTATTATTATTATAAGAAAGTATTATAGTATATTATAATTATTGTAATAATTCATTTTTATTTTAAAAATTATTATTATTATAAGAAAGTATTATAGTATATTATAATTATTGTAATAATTCATTTTTATTTTAAAAATTATTATTATTATAAGAAAGTATTATAGTATATTATAATTATTGTAATAATTCATTTTTATTTTAAAAATTATTATTATTATAAGAAAGTATTATAGTATATTATAATTATTGTAATAATTCATTTTTATTTTAAAAATTATTATTATTATAAGAAAGTATTATAGTATATTATAATTATTGTAATAATTCATTTTTATTTTAAAAATTATTATTATTATAAGAAAGTATTATAGTATATTATAATTATTGTAATAATTCATTTTTATTTTAAAAATTATTATNCCCCGATCTCACCTCGCTTTTCCGGCGTCCGGCGGCCGATCGCGCATGGATTAAAAGTCGTGCGTCCGGCGGGGCCGGTCCGGTTCGATCCGTCCGGCCCCCGATCTCGCCCCGCTTTTTCGGCGTCCGGCCGCTGATCGCGCACGAATTAAAAGTCGTGCGTCCGGCGGGGCCGGACGCCTTTTTCGCCATCCGGAATCGACGATCGGACGGTCGTCGCGCGTTCGGAGGCGATGGTCGGACGCCGGTGCAGATTCAAAAAAAAAAATTAAAATAAATTATTGACCGCGTAAGAAAAAAAAATTAGCTTGATAGAGAAGTATGCTTTGTCGAGGCCGTAGGATTGTTTTAACATTTTTTCAAATTTTTTTCGATGCTCGAATCGCTCATTGAAAGTTCGAGAGTTTAGAGAATTTAGAAAGATAGAGAGAGAAAAATGATTAATGACAAAAGAGTAAAAAAAGGGACAATGACTAATAAAGAGGAACGGTAAATAGTTCACGAGTATCAACAATCTTTGTGTGGACTTTTATGCCTGATGGGTATTGAAATTATGTACGGAGTGTATTATCATTTTTTTATTAGCTTTGCTCAATGATGGGTCTAGAAAGTTGAAACTGCAGATGTACGACGCAATGGATTCGTATATGAAGAAGGTTATTATTATCAAGTATATATCTTTTCCCTCTTTCTTTTTTCCCTTTTGAAGAAATTGAATATTATATTGTGATCTAGTTTAGATAGATGAAGTTACGTGTAGGCATCTTTCGCTTAAAGAATTTTACTTTATATTTACTGGGCAAGTACGGTGATTAGCTTGACATATGCTTTTCACAAGAATAACATCATAGGTACTCAAAATAAGAAACATTAATTAGATAAAACTTTTCATTGATGTCCCACTAAGGTGGAAATTACACATGAGCATATGATGTGCTTTAGCACATCTTTACTTAAATAGTGATAATTGATTTGCCATAAACGTAATTGATCAGAAACCGCTCATAAAAATTGTCATCACAAATAATAATAATAATAGTAATAAAAATAGGCAAATGAATTATAGAGGGTGACCTTTGCCAACCACTCTACTTTTCAGATTCCTTAACAAATTTGTCAAGGATGGGCTGAAAAGTAGGCAAGCAGGCCCACTAATGGGGCATTGATATACGTTGTGGGCTCGGACTGCTGCGAGAAAGGCCTGGAGTCCGGGAATGCATCTGAGCTGTCCGGCCCACCAACAACAGCCCCAAGCAAGAGGTTAGGGTTGGGATTTGGGCTGAGAAAGTAACGTGATCCAGCTTTGCAGCCTATTCGCTGCGGGTGGGCCGCAAGGGATGGCAAAGAGCTGGCCCGGTGATGGATTCTCTCTGGATAACGCGGCCCATAGCCCACCATGTACGACATTCTCAACGGATTATCCCCCAGAATGTAGTCAACCTATTAGTCATTATTAGATATATAATAAAATAATGATTAGAGATGATAGACGATTTTGTTTTGTGGGGCATTAATTAATAATAATAATTATTATTTATGATGAGATGCATTTGATGTGGACGATGGCAGTGTTACCTGACGCTTGGCCAACCTCTTGAGAAGGGCAGGGGAGACTGAGGTGGCGCCACATGTCACCATGTGATTGGCGTGGCTAAGATAATTAGAGTAAGCCAAAAGCAGAAAGGATAGGGATGTTACATGTTGCATGTTACTTCCTCCATTCTTGAATATCAGTCCCCCTGTATTTTTTTTTTTTTTTTTTAAAAAAAAAGGTATATATCAATTGCTAAATGCAGCTGGCCATTATAATTAATAATGAATAAATTATAGTACCTGGTGAATATTGGACCTGAGTATTAGAAAGTCCAGGCAAAACTGAACAGATAAAGCCATCGGCATTTATCTTAAACTGTTTCAAGTCCACAGCTCTGCCCATTAAAACATCCTGCCAATGCAAAATGTGTTTTGTGCTAAGCTTAACCATCATCAATTAATCCAGAATCAGAACAATTCGTTCAAAATTTAGTTGAATTTTATTTTCCATTCATTATTTTTTATTGTTTTTCTTTTTAACATACATATAGGAATAAACCAAAAGACGTACAAGTCTAATTCACGAGGGTAATAGGACAAGCAAATTGTTGCCCAAACAGATACACACTCAGTGTCCTAAATCTAAGGCGATGAGAATAGACCAATGAGGGGAAGTGGAAAGTCACAATTCACCTTTTTTCAGCACAAGAAATTGAATTGATCAGATATATAGCCGTTGATGTATTGAAAAAATAAAGCTGTCCTTTTTTCTCCCATCTTTATGCACATGCATGTGACAGCAAAATCACTTGCCTATACATACACAATACACCCCCATTTCTCTATATATTTTTTTATTACTTGTTATTAATTAGCAACCAATTTTTATTTTTTTTTTAATTTTTTTTGGTGATCAAGAATTTGTCCATCATAAAGGAATATCACGAAATGTAATGGCGAGACATGATTAATAAGACAAGAGAGAATAAGTCAGACACAAGTAGATGCAGGGATAAATTATTGTAAATAGGAGCACATCACATGATGCGAAGATTATAGTCATTCCCATTAATTAATGCATGAAGGATACCACAACATGACATGACACAAGAAAAAGCACGGGAAAATTCACGGATTAGTGAATAACAAAAATAGAAATTAACAACTAATAATGGAATATAATATAATATAAAATGGGCAAATTAAACCTTGGAAAGTAGAACATTAATCCCGGCATGTTTGTTGTCCCAACCAAACTCATTAATTGTATCTCCTGCCCTTAATACAACCTCGTTTCTCACTATGTATTCTCTGTACTCTCGCCTACGAGAAGCCTTGTGCAGCCACGCCGCACCCCATAGCAATTCATCCTACACATGTTTTCAAACTATAACTAATTACCTTCATATTTTACATCAAACTATTGTGAGGCGAATTAAGACATACATTATACATATAATATATGAAATTGTTCTTAAATCGTGTGTATTTTCCAGCTTACATATTAATCAGTACAAAAAGTTGTTAGGCTTAACCATAACTGAATTTGTCAAAATAAATAAAATGTGACAACTATTTTTTTTATTCTTTTTTACATAGGAAATGTGTAAAATTGGTTTTGTCAAGTGCACAGTGTAAAAACAGTTATTGCAATTAGATGAGAATATAATAATAATAGTTTACAAATAAATAGTGAAATACCTGGTAACCATTGATATCACAGTAAAAAGGGCAGACGGCATGGCGTAGGCTAGCACTATAGGCGCCACGATGCCTGTCAGCAAACTCGAATACCTAAAAACCATTTTCACTCACAACGGTCAATTCCTCGTAATCTGTGCCTTTGAAATAATTAATCAGCAAATTGATTATGATGACAATTAATTTATGGGACACACTTTCTATTTCTACTTCTACTTCTACTTCTACTTCACACCTTTTATCTTCCCAATTAGTGGGGTTAATTTAATATTTTTATAACAAATTAATTCTTAAGATTGCACTGCATCTCGCATAGATATTGAAATAATTTTTTTTTTTTTTTTTATCAACAATTTTACTGTAGAGCTTTCACATGCATGATGCATATTGTATACATTTTACACAATATTATATTCCTTAACGGGTCATTGATCATTGCTACAACTTTGGAACAAGTCAACAAGAACAAAGCATAAATAGTGTCGTTTCCTCTTTAACTGCCATACCAAAAGCTGCATCACAAAATATATAAAGGCAGTATAGCATAAATAGAGTGATTTCTTACTTCCTTTTATTTGTTACCAAAAATTTTTTATAGTTACCTAAATGATTTTTAACATTTTTGTTTTTTGCATACTTTAATGTGATATGGAAATATTTTTTAACATCTTTAATGTGATATGGAAATATTACCCGCAGTTTATTCATTTAATGTCACTTATATTTTGGTATAGAAGGCACAAAAATCAACAATTCTCAGTGGTAAAATATAAATGCAGTTGACGTTTGTTATACCTTTCACATAAAAAGCTATTGAAAAACACGACGATGTACAGTAAGTATTAAGTAATAAATAACATAATAGAAACATAATAACGGAAATGGCGAAGAAATTAAAGAAAAAAAGAGTGAAAAATGAAAATAATGTCCAGCAATATTCTGTATGCTCCCTGACCAGTCACGTGATGCCAATTAAGCAAGTCGATGCATATGTGTAAAAATAAAATAAAGGAATTTAATAATAATGCATTAATTGCGTCAAGCACACAAAATCCAAAAATGTGAAAGCAAAGGAAAACAAAAAGAAACTGACTTTAACGGCACGATTGAGCAGCAGCCTGGAATAGGCCGGGTTACGTGACCGGAAGACGATGGACGCGGCGGCGAGCGCGGCGGCGGTTTCTCCGGCGACGTCGGAACCGGGGTTGGCCGCGTCGATCTTGTACGCCGTCCTCGGGGTATCCATGTCCTCCGGCCTCTCCCAGCAGTTGTGGTCGGAGAGGGGATCTCCGACCTGCACGAATACGACGCCGTCGTGGGCGGTGGCCTTGAGCAGATAGTCGGTGCCCCACTTCAAGGCCCTGACGGCGTTCCCGAGCTCGCCGCCGCCCATGCTCCGCCCGAAGTCAATGATGCTCCACGACAGCAATGTGGCGGTGAACGCCATCGGAAAACCGAACTTCACGTTGTCCCCGGCGTCGTAGTAGCCTCCGCTCAGGTCCACCTACACACACAATGAGTGAGAAAATGAAATAAAATATAATAAAATAAGAATTAGTAATGGAGAGCATACCCCGGCGGAGGCGCCGTCGTGGAGGGCGGAGTCGCGGCGCCAGCGGAGGCGTTGGTCGGGCGGGAGGCGGCCGGAGCGCTGGCCCTCGAAGAAGAGGATGCTCTTGCGGAGGGCGTCATGGTAGTCGTGGCCGGCGGAGGCGGAGGAAGGTAAGAGGAGGAAGAGGAGGACGGCGGCGGCGGTGGTGGTGGCAATGAAGTAAAATGACGGGAGGTGGCGGAGATTTGGCGCCATTTCTACTATTTCTCTGTCTTTCTAATTATTATTATTATATATTTCTTTTTTGAAGTAAAGAATTGTGAGAGGGGCGGGGATCAAGAACATGCGTTCCTTCTGGTACTCTTTATTTATAGGGGAAAACAGTGTCATTGGATCTGAGGGGAGGACCAATAGGAGTCTGCCACGTGGAGTGGTGTGATTGGGATGCGGTTGAGAGGAGGTGGTCTTTGACTGGCTTGTGCTTTGACTGATTTTGGAGGGAAGGAGGGAGGGGACAAGGATTTCGTTTCTAAACGGGATATTAAAATAAAACTAGTATGTTAGCCGCGGGTTGCGCGGCTTAATATTAAAAATGATGTGAATGAATGATAATTTAATAGAAAAATATTTTAAAAAACATCTATTGATATAACGTAGACTAAATTTTTTACTAAACTAGTAAATATACTTCCACAAATATAACATTAATATAGTATTAATAGTGGATGAGTTGTGGTCATTATCACCTACTGTAATTGTTAGTTTTTTGATTAATTGTTTGTCCCACATCGAATGTATACCAAAGATGTGTAGGATCTTATTAGTATAAATAAGTCCCTTGCCTTTGGGTTACAATTGCACCTTATTCTATTCTCTCCTCTCTTGGTAGGAAATCCTTAATTAAGGAAATCCTAATTTGTGGGTTATTTAATCCTAGTTGTATTTTGTTGGTGAGTTTAGTAAATTTGGCGTTGCGGTTGGCGGTGCCCGGAGACGTAGGCTATTTTCGCCGAACTCCGTTATCAATTTTTGTGTCCTTTTTATTTTCCGTCTTTTATTTATTTGTGTTGGCTTATTTTCGTTTGGAGTAGTGCTTGCCATATTTGTTGGAGGGGTATTTTTGTCCGCTGCGTTTGGTGTTCTACCCCAACAAGTGGTATCAGAGCCGAAGGTTCGCCCTAGGCTAATTCGAAGAGGCGAGCACTGCATTTGAGTTCGAGATGTCCAAGGAGGTCAAGGGCGCATCATCCTCTGCATTCATTCCGGCAAGGACGGTGATGCCGAATGTCAGACTCCCAGTGGAGATTTTCGATGGGACCGGGCATTTCGGCATGTGGCAAGGCGAGGTGTTGGATTGTCTTTTTCAGCAAGGCGTCGACATTGCAATTGAAGAAGAGAAGCCAACCGACGTTGAAGAGAAGGACTGGAAGAATATCAACCGCTTAGCATGTGGAACAATTCGTTCGTGTTTGTCGAGGGAGCAGAAGTACGCGTTCAAGAATGAGAATTCTGCTCACACTTTGTGGAAGGCTTTGGAGGATAAATTTCTGAAGAAAAGCGGCCAGAATAAGCTCCTCATGAAGAAGCGATTGTTCCGATTTGAGTACCGGCATGGCACATCGATGAATGACCACGTCACTGCATTTAATCAGTTGGTTGCAGATTTGTTGAATTTGGACGTCACATTCAGCGATGAAGATTTGGCTCTAATGTTGTTATCATCACTTCCGGATGACTTTGAGCACTTGGAGACTACTCTGCTCCATGGGAAGGACGATGTAACTCTTGCGGTGGTCAGTTCTGCTCTGTATAGCTACGAGTTGAGGAAGAAGAACAAACAAGAGACGAAGAATGCAGCAGCTGAAGATGAAGCGTTAGTTGCAAGAGGTCGGTCGAAGAGCCAAAAGAAGAATGGACGAGGAAGATCACGTTCCAAGGCCAAGCTTGAAAAAGACGAGTGTGCTTTCTGTCATGAGAAGGGACATTGGAAGAAGGACTGTCCTAAGTTAAAGAAGAAAGGCAAATCTCCTCAAGATGCATATGTTGCTGAGGGTGGAAGTGAAGACTCAGAATTTTCACTTGTGGTTTCACCTTCATCATCTCATCCAGATGAATGGATTTTGGATTCAGGATGCACCTACCATATGTCTCCCATAAGGGAGTGGTTCTTTGACTTTCAAGAGATCAATGGAGGGGTTGTCTACATGGGTAATGATAATGCTTGTAAGACAACCGGGATAGGTTCAATCCGTTTGAAGAATCGCGATGGTTCCACCAGAGTTTTGACAGATGTTCGGTACGTGCCGAGTTTGAAGAAAAATCTCATCTCATTAGGAGCCTTGGAATCCAAAGGCTTGGTAGTGACTTTACGAGATGGAGTTATGAAGGCTACATCCGGCTTGCTCGTGGTGATGAAAGGCATCAGGAGAAATAATTTGTATTACTATGAAGGCAATACAGTTGTTGGGACAGCAACAGTAGCAGATTCCACCAACAAGGAGTCTGAAGCAGTCAAGTTGTGGCATATGCGGTTGGGACATGCTGGTGAAAAATCCTTGCAGACATTGGCAAAACAAGGACTGTTGAAAGATGTCAAAGTGTGCAAATTAGACTTTTGTGAGCATTGTGTTCGGGGAAAGCAGAAGAGAGTGAAGTTTGGAACGGCTATCCATAATACCGAAGGTGTCTTGGATTATGTTCATTCGGATGTTTGGGGACCTTCTAAGACCCCATCATTAGGCGGAAGACGCTATTTTGTCACTTTCATCGATGACTTTTCCAGACGAGTTTGGGTGTACACTATGAAGACGAAAGATGAAGTGCTTGGTGTCTTCATTACATGGAAGACGCAAATTGAGAATCAGACTGGAAGGAAGATCAAGGTCCTACGAACGGACAATGGTGGAGAATATAGAAGTGATCCCTTTCAAGAAGTTTGCCGAAAAAATGGCATTGTTAGGCACTACACTGTTAGACGGACACCACAACAAAATGGGGTGGCGGAGCGCATGAATCGAACATTGGTGGAGAAAGTTCGATGTATGTTGTCCAATGCTGGTTTGGGCAAGGAGTACTGGGCTGAGGCTGTAACATACGCGCAACACCTCATAAATCGATTGCCGTCATCTGCAAAAGATGGTAAAACACCGTTGGAGGTATGGTCGGGGAAACCTGTTGCTGACTATGGATCTTTACATGTCTTTGGGTGTCCTACGTTCTATCATGTGAAGGATTCAAAGTTAGATCCAAGAGCGAAAAAGGCTTTGTTCATGGGAATCACAATTGGCGTGAAGGGATATCGTCTTTTGTGTCTTGAGACGAACAAAACTGTGTTCAGCAGGGATGTTACATTTGATGAACAAAGTATGATAAAGACGACGCAAACCCAACAGGTGGAGTTGACACCGAAGCAGGTGGAGATAGATGCGATGACGAGACGACCAGCTATGATCGACGAACCAATATCAAATGATTCGCCGGATGATGAAGTTCAGACTCAAGAATCATTAGAGTTACCCATTGCATTGAGAAAGCCCAGACGAGAGATTCAACAACCTGCTCGATTGGCGGATATGGTGGCTTATGCACTTCCAATTGTTGATGATGACATACCTTTCACCTTTCAAGATGCAATTCGGTGTTTAGAAAATGAGAAGTGGAAAAGGGCTATGGAGGAAGAAATGTTGTCTCTCCAGAAGAATCAAACTTGGAAGGTGACGCAACTACCAAAAGGCAAAAGGGCGATAGGATGCAAGTGGGTATTTGCAAAGAAAGATGGATTTCCTCATAAGAATGATGTGCGCTACAAGGCAAGATTGGTGGCTAAAGGCTACGCTCAGAAGGAAGGAGTTGATTATAATGAAGTGTTTTCTCCAGTTGTTAAGCACTCTTCCATTAGAATTTTGTTGGCCTTAGCAGCACAGTTGAATTTGGAGCTAGCTCAACTTGATGTGAAGACGGCGTTCTTACACGGAGATTTAGATGAGGAAATCTACATGACTCAGCCAGAAGGATTCAAAATTTTTGGGAAAGAGAATTGGGTCTGTAAGTTGAATAAATCGTTGTACGGACTGAAGCAATCTCCGAGACAGTGGTACAAACGGTTTGATAAGTTTATGATTGGGCAGAAGTACACACGAAGCAAACATGATCATTGTGTGTATCTACGCAAGCTGCAAGATGGATCTTTCATTTACTTACTCTTGTATGTGGATGACATGTTGGTTGCATCAAAGAGTCAAGTGGAGATTGATCAGTTGAAGGCTCAGTTGAACCAAGAGTTTGAGATGAAAGACTTGGGGGAAGCTAAGAAAATTCTCGGGATGGAGATAAGTAGGGACAGAAGGAGAGGCAAGCTTTGTTTGACTCAGAAGCAATATCTGAATAAGGTACTACAACGTTTCGGAATAAAAGATGAGACGAAGCCTGTAAGTACACCACTTGCCCCTCATATTAAGTTAAGTTCCCAATTATCGCCAAATTGTGATGAAGAACGAGAGTACATGACTAGAGTCCCATATGCAAATGCAGTTGGTAGTTTGATGTATGCGATGGTGTGTACAAGGCCCGACATTTCACAAGCAGTTGGTGTTGTTAGCAGATATATGCATGACCCTGGTAAAGGTCATTGGCACGCTGTGAAATGGATTCTACGGTACATTCATAATACTGTAGACGTTGGATTAGTTTATGAGCAGGATGAATTTGGTCAATGTGTGGTTGGATATTGTGATTCTGACTACGCGGGCGATTTGGATAAGCGAAGATCAACGACTGGATATTTGTTCACTTTTGCGAAAGCTCCAGTCAGTTGGAAGTCTACCTTACAATCAACGGTTGCTTTGTCTACAACAGAGGCAGAGTATATGGCGGTTACTGAAGCTGTGAAGGAGGCTATTTGGATTCAAAGTTTGCTTGAAGACTTGGGAGTTGGTCAAAAGCACGTCTTAGTGCATTGTGACAGTCAGAGCGCTATTCACTTAGCGAAAAATCAAGTATTTCATGCAAGAACGAAGCATATTGATGTTCGCTATCACTTTGTGCGGGAGATTCTAGAAGATGGAACCGTTGTGTTGAAGAAGATCAAGACGACGGAGAATCCTGCAGATATGATGACCAAGGTAGTGACAACAGTCAAGTTTAAACATTGTTTAGACTTGACCAACATTCTGCATATTTGAGTTGGCGCCGTGAGGCGCATTTGGAGGCACCGCCGACAGTTGATTTGGATTGAAGAGTCGAAGTGGGAGCAAAATTAGTCAAGGTGGAGAATTGTTAGTTTTTTGATTAATTGTTTGTCCCACATCGAATGTATACCAAAGATGTGTAGGATCTTAT